ATATAACTTCATTTAACGTCATTTGAGGTCTATCCTTTGAAAATTCGATGCCGAATGTATTTGATTTTCAATGTGTCCCCTTCGATTCAAGGTTTCATTTCAGCGTGCGCTTCAATTACAGTTGCTAGCAATCAGCCAAGTATTTGCAAGCAATCGCAATTGAAGCGCATTACTGCGAGCAGGATTCGGACAACTCGTCCAACACACGTCTCCCCCCCTAAACGGCAGGGGGAGTCCCTGTCTAAGCCCCAGTTGGGCGTTTTCTTCACTTTTTCTTTTTCCATTCGACCACTTTTCACCTACAACTTCAATATAGGTGCTTTTAGCCCGCAAATTCGTTCCTGGATTGTTGCTTTAAGCCGCCTTCTCGATGCTCTCGTCTGCGCTCTCTCGCCTTATCAGCGGCTCATGACCACTGTGATCTCACACATTCAAACTTTTGCCACACTGTAGTTGGCTCACCCACCTCGGAGTCCCTCCCTCCTACAAGGCTTAGTCCTAGGGCTCTCACCTCCTTCCTTGGGATTTGGAGCCGAGCCAGGCGCCGTTCTCTAATCGTCTGTGCTCTCCGCCATTCGTGGCAGGACCATAGAAGAAAGTTCAAGTATTCCGTAAACCGGGAATCGGGCATCTTATGAAATCTTGAAACTTTCAGCGCAAATAGGTTCTATGCGTAGCGGTCTACCAAACCTTTGCTTATTACTCAAAAGATAGCAGCAGCTACACGAAAAATCAGCCAAACCTCGCAAATTCCATACCTTGTTTGTAATGTACCGCCGTTTGGTCGAAACGGACATAGTGAGCACTTGTGGAACAGCTCGACTGCAACGTGAACAGCGCCGATCTGTAACAGACAATCTTAGTGGATTGAGCGAAATTCCACGAATTATACTAGGTATTACTCGAAATGTTGCCAATGTACGATAACTCGTACTGCACCAGCTAATGATGGATACTTTCATAGCGCCTACCCAAGACATGGTTTTAAGGTTCAAGACGGTCAGCCGTCCACAAATCGAACAAAAGATAACATGAAACCAAAAAGGCTAATCCAAAGCTTTACGAAAAAACCCGAGCAAATAAAAACATGAAACAAACCAAAATCCGTAAAATAGCCAACGCGCTTTTGCGGTCACCCTGAAACACCGTAATCAGTAAACCCAGATTTTGCGCTGATTTGACGATTCGTGATGCGGGATGATTAGGGGCAGAAACTCGCTGGAAAAAAAACAAAGGGATGCAGACAATATAGCAATAGTGAAAGTGTCATTGCATTTGAAGTCAGTGGCCCCAATCGATTTTCATTGGAAAAGAACGCAATCAAAAGTCAACATTTTCCCAGAAAAATTTGATACAGAGTGAATGATAAGTAGTTATTGAACATTATTCATATTGGTACTCTCTTTTAGATTTTTCCTACTTTATCGGCCCTGAAATGGAAGCATACGGCGTCACGCAGTGAAATACGAACAGGGCGCAATTTGCCTCGGGGGGGGGGGGGTAATGTGTGGGAGACCTAAGCCTCCGGAGAAAGAAGAATCTTGGGGAGAATGAGAATTGGTTTCGCATCTCGCATTCCTTTTTTTCCCCCACTTAGTCCTCAAAAAGCTCGATTACAAGTGAGGTGGGCACACCCAGCTTTCCACGCATGTCAAGTGACTGCCCTCATCCCCCACCCTAGATTGGCTACACTCCCCCAGCTCACGAATTCCCCTGATTCTCGTGACAGTATAGTAGCGGCAGCAGTCGCACTTACATATTTTTGTTAAAAAACTCGCGCGGCAAACCCCTGTATCTTGTAATAGCAACCCAAAACTGAAACCAATGGTTTACAATGATCCTCCCAGCCCTCACCACCAATAAAAAACGGAGAACATAAATTGTGGCCGCACAAGGTTCCTTCACACTCTAACTTTTTTCCACTACTTCGATTGTCCCTATTTCGCCTTCCAAGACTTATTATCAAGTTTCGATGCATAATATAGGTTCTAGAATACGATAGTGCATATGATCGTTCGAGGCGAAAGATCACCGTCAATCATCTGTAGTACAAGGAAATTTTCACGAGTACGCGGTCAGGAATCAGTCAACTGGCTTCGCCATACAGATCACTTTGCGAACTATTCAGAGAATGAGCCAATTCACCAAGATTTCCCTTTTGAGAAACCATTCGTCGTGTGCTATGGTGTACCATTTGTAACCACAACGCGGCATTTTTGGCTATTTATAGCATTTCCTTTTTTGCGTTCATTCTGCTATAGATTGTCCTGGGTTCTATTCCAGTGAGCGGGACATCATGATTGGCAGTTTTCTCGGCGATACGCTAAGGTAAACTCAAATCATTTCTTCAACTCAATCAAGCTTCTTCACGCACCATCAGATTCCCCCTAAACTTGGAATAGACCCGGGTCCTTATACTGCTTATCCTTTCACTGCTTTTCAGAAAATATTATACCAGATTGGTCCCCCGGCAAGCGCCGGAACCTCCCTACCTTGCGTAAGCTTTCCCTTCTCCCTCCTCTCCTTACTCACCCCTCGTTCTCCTCTGCTCGCCGGCTACCACAGCATCACCTTGTGGAATGACCGAAAGTGTGCTAAGTGCGTGTTTATATAGCCGTTCTGGGTTATCCAACAATCATGGCTTTGCAAAATGACATAGGCGCTAATTCCTCGAGCTACCACAGATTTGGCGGTTTGTTTATTCCGTTAGCTGCCTTATCACTCACTCACTTCATTTTGCGGACGGACACACATACATACATACATACACACACACACACACATACAGACACACAAACCGACACATAAAGTTAGCGCTTTATAAAATATGCTGATTCTACATCGTCCTCTGTTCTTGACATTCAAAAATATGCTGTGCATTTTAGTGGGTTTACGTAACTGTTGCGTTACAGATTCTCCTATGCCTTTGAAACGGATAACCTTCAGCGGAAGATTAGGTACTAGCGCTAAGGACGGTGACAATCTTCGGCGGATCGTAATACGTGGTTTAATATGCATGGGCCTTGATATTGCAATTACCCTCACGATTTCAATCGTTCTGTTTTACATGTTCGCTGGGTGAGCGTTTAGCTTCCGAATGGTTTTAGTTTTCATTCCTTTTTATAGCCATTCTTATGCAGGTAATCTGTGAATGTAATGTTCAGGTATGCTGTATCGCCGTACGAGCGTCCAGTTCCATGCAATGATGATTCTATAAATCGACCTTTCCAAAATAACACTGTCAGGATGAAGCAGCTTCTGGCTATCTCTTTAGGAACACCGTTCTTCATCATATGTTTCGTTGAGGCTATGATTTTTCTTGCTTCACAGGTAAGAAGTTTGCTTTTGCAGTTTCCTTTTCTACATTAAATACGACCGGCAATCCATAGTAAACCCAATGAAGAGCAAATGCTAGGATGACCAAGTCAAATTCTACACGCCAACTTCGCCTCAAAGGGGGTTAGCACTCCGCTCAATTCGTTTTGCTTTTCAATTCTTCTCAACCTCTTTAGATTCTGACCGTGCTTACAGCTTGGTTCTCTTATTTCACAATGAGCTCAGTTTTCCCCTTGGTTGGGCTTACAGTATTGCTGGCTATACATTTATTCGCCTTTCTTAGTGCCTTTGAGAGACTGATCGACTCGAAGCTGCGTGATTTGTCCTCATCTCTCAGGAACAGTTCGGGTTCATGCCCTGAAAGGTCTACAACGGATGCCATCTTCATCGCAAGGCAAGTGATGGAGAAGTATCGAGAAAAGCGCCGACCCTGCTACCTAGCCTTCCTCGACCTGGAGAAGGCGTTCGACCGGCTACCGCGAGCAGTACTATGGAGGAGCGCTCAGGGAACGGAACGTGCCAGAACACCTGATCTCCTTTTGAAGGATATGTACAACGGCGCTAAGGCAACTTTGTGCACCCCACATAAACTAA